ACTGGACAAATGGGACTACCTTAAAATAAAGTTTCTGCACAGCTAAAAGCTATAGCAACCATGCTAGAAAGACAACCAACTAACTGGGAAAAAGTATTTACCAGCAATATATCAGACAAGGGGTTAATATCCTGTATATACAGGGAACTCAAGAAACTAATCCCTCCCAAACCTAACAAACCAATTACTAAATGAACAAGGGAACTAAAGAAAGACTTCAGAAGAGATAAAAATGGCAAAGAAACACATGAGGAAATGTGCACCATCCCTGGTTCTGAAGGAAATGCAAATAAAGACAACTCTGAGATACCACCTTACCCCAGTCAGAATGGTCCACATCCTCAAGTCAGCCAAGGACAAATGCTGGAGGGGATGTGGAGAAAGAGGAACCCTATTACACTGGTGGTGGAATGTACATTTAAACCACTTTGGAAAGCAGTCCGGAGGGTCCTCAGAAAGCTTAATATTGACCTCCCTTATGACCCAGTCGTACCACTTCTAGGCATCTATCCTGAACAACAGGAACCAGTATACAAGGACACATGCACCTCCATGTTTATTGTAGCACTGTTCACAATAGCCAGGATATGGAAACAACCCAGATGCCCCACCACAGATGAATGGATCCAAAAATTGTGGTATCTATACAATATTATGTAGCCATTAGAAACAACAAAATAATGGCATTTACAGGGAAATGGATGGAGCTAGAAGAAATCATAACGGCACATGGTCTCCCTGATAAGTGGATGTTAAATCCAAAATGTTAGGTGATACGACAAAATTAACAGGACATAAGAAATAAAGGACTGGGGCTGGGAAGGTGGCTCAGTGGTAGAGCGCTTACCTTGCATGCCTGAGGCCCTGGGTTCGATTCCTCAGCACCACATAAGCACAAAGAAAAAAGCCGGAAGTGGCGCTGTGGCTCAAGTGGTAGAGCGCTAGCCTTGAGCTGAAGAGCTAAAGGACAGAGCCCAGGCCCAGAGTTCAGGCCCCACGACCGGACCCAACAAAAAAAAATTAAAAGCAGGGCTGGGAATGTGGCTTAGTAGTACTTGCCTAGCATGTTCCATTCCTCAGTACCACATTTGTATTACCACATTGGTACAATAGTAAATTTTCTGGGTGCTGTGTATGAGAATAAAGTCAAGACATCTGGTAATATAACTTTGTAGACTCTTATTTTCTAGTGAGAATGTGGTTTGACATACTGTCTGCAAGAAGCACTTTTTTTTTGTCGGTCGTGGGGCCTGAACTCTGGGCCTGGGTGCTGTCCCTCAGCTCTTCAGTTCAAGGCTAGTGAAGAGGCACATTTTTCCAGCAGAGTTCTGGTAACCCCAAACATATCTTTTGTTCAGCTCTTATCTTTTGTACTTTCTTCTCTTTTTTTCTTTGCTCTCTCTCTTCCTCCTCTACCCCAATTCATTTATGCCATTATTAGGGCTTGTACTTAGAACCTTAACACTCTCACTTGGCTTTTTCTCCCCCAGCTCATTTTCTTAATTTTAAATCATCTGACATACAATCATTTGATGAAATTAATTTTTTAGCCAGGAACTGTTGGCTCAGGCCTATGAGTCTAGTTACTAAGGAGGCTGAGACCTGGAGGATTAAGGCTGGCCAAGGCAGAAGAGGCTGTGAGACTCCATCTTCAATTAACCAGCAAAATCTAGACTGAAGGCATGACTCAAGTGATAGAGTACCCCTTAGCAAAAATGCTGAGCAAGAAAAAAAAGTGAGAGGGCTGAGAAGGTGGCTCAGTGGTAGAGTGCTTGCCTTGCATGCATAAGACCCTGGGTTCTATTCCTCAACACCACATAGGCAGAAAAAGCAGAAGCGGGGCTGTAACTCAAGTGGTAGAGCGCTAGCCTTGAGCTGGAAATGCTGAGGGACAGTATCGAGGCCCAGAGTTCAGGCCCCATGACCAGCAAAAAAAATAAAAAGAGGGGCTGGGAAGATGGCTCAGTGGTAGAGCACTTGCCTTGCATGCATGAGGCCCTGGGTTCGATTCCTTAGCACCACATAAACAAAAAGAAAAAAGCCGGAAGCGGCGCTGTGGCTCAAGTGGTAGCGTGCTAGCCTTGAGCTGAAGAGCTGAGGGAGAGCACCCAGGCCCAGAGGTCAGGCCCCACGACCGGACCCCCCCCCAAAAAGAAAGAAAAGTGTGACCCTAAGTTCAAGCCTTGGTATGGCACACACAAAGTACCACTTTTCCCTCATCCCTCTCAATTTCCCATTATATCTGCCTTAATTGAGAGATCCATTATATCTTGTATTCTGAACCCAAGTCTTGATAGCAAAGTAGTATATCTTTTATGTTAAAAGTTAAATATACCTTTTGGAAAAAATTGAAATAGTCAGAAATATACATACATGTATGTATATATAATTTATATCTACATATTTATATACATATGCATATAAATACACACATGTATACATATATATATATAAAGGAAGAAATCCTGCCTTACTAGCTATTCCAAATCTCTGGCATTGGTGTTCTACTAGCTATTCCAACTCTCTGGCATTGGTGTTCATGCTGGACTTACTATTATGCACACATAACTATGCTATCCCAGGCAGATAAATCAGAAAGGTTCTTATTTCTAATTAACCAGCAAAAAGCTGGAAATGGAGGTGTGGCTCAAATGACAGAGCACAAGCCTTGAGTGGAAAAAGCTAAGCCAGAGTGCCAAACAGTTTAAGCACCAGTGTTGGCCCCCCAAAAAAATCTGACAGAAACTTCCCCAAATTATAACAGAACCTAAAATATATAGGTATCAAATGTGTCACTATTAAGGAAAGAAGTATTTCACTATTTCTTGAGTTTTTGGTAAGTTGAATATAGTTCTTTGAAATTATTTTAGTATGGTTCCTCAATTGTTGAGAATTACCAGTTTCTAATAAAAAAAAACTATGATCTACAGGAAGAACTCAATTGCAAAAAAAGCCAAACCAAACCAAAACAAACAAATTAGTTTTCCTGTCTCTCTCTCTCTCCCTGTCCTTCTCTCTGCCATGGGACTTGAACTTGGAACCTGAGTGCTGGGTGCTATTCCTGAGTTTTTATGCTAGCATTCTACCACTTGAGTCAAAGATCCACTTCTGGCTTTTTGATTAAATTGGGGATAAGTTTTACAGAGCCAGGTGCTGGTGGCTCACTCCTGTAATCCTAGTTACTCAGGAAGTTGAATTCTGAGGATGGCTGTTCGAAGCCAGCCCAAGCAAGAAAGTCCTTGAGACATTCATCTCCAATTAACCACCAGAAAACCAGAAGTGGTGCTGTGGCTCAAAGTGGTAGAGCACTAGCCTTGAGCAAAAGAGCTCAGGGACAGCATTGAGACTCTGAATTCAAACCCTATGAGAAAAAAAAAAAAGTCTTCCATATTTTTCTGCCCCGGTTGCCTTTGAACCATGGTCCTCAGATCTCAACCTCCTGAGTAGTAGCTGGGATTACAGGCATGTAATAGCTGGTGCCCAGCTACTCTCTTTTATATAGGATGAGATCTGTTAGATGCAGTCTACATCTGGACCTATAAATTCTACATATTTATAGGATGACATCTTGAACTCCTATTTAAATACCACATAGAAGCCTTCCTTTATTTTTAACCTTTAATTAGATCAATATACTACTCAAAAAGGAAAAAGTTGTAACACATACTTCTTCATATTTGTTTGTAAATATGCACATCTATGACTTTAAAAATTACAGAATTAGGATCCTTTAGAGTTTAAAAATATAATCCATCAGATAATGTATCTGAATAATAGCTGTTATAAGATGTAAACTTTTAAAATATGGAGTGATTTTAAACATACCTGATAATTTGACTGCAAAAAACAAATATACATAAAAGCCTTATTACTCAAGTAAAAAAATAGAACTATTCCAAAAAACCCTAATTGTATATTGTAGTTCATGGCTGTAATCCCAGCTACTTGGTAGGCTGCAGCAGAAGAATCACTTACCTCTAGGAGTCCAGGGTGGCCAGGCTGATCAACAGTTTCAAAAACAAAAACACCTAGCATAGTGCTCGCATAGTTTTAGCATAGTGCTAAGATGCTGTCCTAAAATATGCTAGCTAGACTCTAGGTTTGATTACCAATACTACAAAAACAAAAATATAAATGAAGCCTTGCGCTGGTGGCTCATGCCTGTAATCCTAGCTACTCAGGAGGCTGAGATCTGAAGATCGCGGTTCAAAGCCAGCCCGGGCAGGAGAGACTGTGAGACTCCTATCTCCAATAAACCACCAGAAAACCGGAAGTGGTGCTGTAGCTCAAATGGTAGAGCACTCACCTTGAGCTGAAGAGCTGAGGGACAGCGCCCAGCCCAGAGTTCAAGCCCCACGACCAACCAAAAAAAAAAAAATTGAAAATGGCCATTATGTAGAACCTTATAGTAAAATCTTCCATTGTTATCATTTTAAGGAACTGTAGCTTATCCAAAAAAGATCCAAAGTATCATCAATAGCTTTATCAGATTTTGCAGGTTTTTTTTCTTTTGCTATGCTGAGAATTGAAGCCAGAACTAGGCAAGTTCCCTACCACTGAGCTATATGCTCAGAATGATGTAGCAAGATCTTTATGAAGTAAAACATCAGTGACATAAAAGTACAAGGAAAATTTACAAGGCAAATAACTTCACGAAATATACAAGGTATTCACTACACAGAGGTTTAAAAAGGAAAACTAATTTGGAATGTTGATTTTACTTTATCCACATTATATGATTCACTGATTAAAATATGTTTTAAGGGTTATATTAGCCATAAACTTATTAGGAAGCTCTTGTTTCAAAAATGAATCAATTTTCTTCCTTAAATATTTCACTTGAAGTTTTATATTTTGTATTGTATAAACTTTAGAAAAATTACCATGTAGGTGCACTGAAAGAGCACTGATACCTGGAGCTGAGTGGATTATGGGTAACAGGAAAGGGAAAAATTACGGACTAATGAAGCAATGTAACATTCTTAGAAATATCCTAGTAAGTCCTTTTCTATGAACAGTTCACTCAACATACAAAACATATTACCAACAAAGCAAAATTAGATAATACAAAAATTTCATTAAAAAACTTACAAAGTCATATATATTCAATTTTAACAAAAATTTCATTTAAATATTTTTACAGTAATAAAAATACAAAGTCTGTTTCAAATGTACATTAAGAAAAACTCTTCCATGAAGATCAATATAGTACAAAAATGCACCTTAAGTACCACGCACACTGTATAAGACATTGTCAATGAGTCATTTTGCTTTGCTTTGTGTTTTTGTGCATCATTCTGTGAGGTTCTACAATATGACTGAAGTGGATGGAGAAAACTATTCCATCTCCTTGATCCAAAAAACTACAGGACATACCAGATATCAAACTGACAAGAACAGATAAGACACTTTGATCCTGCTCGAAAGGCCCAGAAGTGATGTTCATGGGTATATTAAGGGAAGTCAGCTGCCAAAGTATTGACAGTCTCTTTAGGAATGTCAAGATGGATTCCTTCGAAATAGTGCAGGAACCTATCAAAATTACAAAGAAAAAAATTTTAATGTTAATATTTTCAACGGAAGCAATACTTTTCTTGAAATAGCTATCTAACATGTTATTATTCATGATGTTTACCTTCTTTTGTTTTTTCCATGTTCTTTTAACTTCTCAGTCCTACAAATGTTTCGAAGAGTTGGCAAGTATTCGATTATACTAGCTTGTTTATTACCCAGGTTCAGAAGAGATCGACTAGAAAATACACTTTTAATGATTGCTATCCTCTTCCAAGCACTGCTGTAAATTAAAAGTAATACATTACTTTTGTCAATACCCAATAAAAATGTAACAGTCCCAAATCAGTTTATTTGTCTCTAGACTATATGACAGCTCTAGATTAATTTCCTGGACAAGGTTTCCCTTTGTAGCTCAAGCTGATCTCAAACTCCCCAGTCCTGTGACTATAGACATGAGCCACCACACCTGTCTCCATATTGAAATATAATGGCTAACTGCAGTCACACCAAGTCCAACTCTCTGTCCTGTCGTACGAGGGTTTCACAAATCTAGCCTAGACTCATCTTCCCATCAATCAAACTGATTCCCTTAACAATCATTAGATCTGCTATGATCAATACCTACCACTTATCTGGTCGAATCACTACTAAATAACTCTATGCTGCTGATCACATATATGGTGTATATGTGCACACTGGAGGGAAACCAGGAGGATGACATAGAACTAGAAGGAATCAGGGAAAACTGTATACAACAGCGGGACCCATCAGCTGCACTGGACAAGGATCAAAATGAACTCAGTGGCAGTGATGGGAAGGAGGGAACGAATGGGAAAGAGGGAACAGCTGACGCTATGCAAAAAAAAAAGAAATGTACATATCACCCAATGTGAAAGAAATAAGTATATTGCAGAGCTCATAGAACTCATAAATGTTATAGACCATGATAAACAATTTGCCCCATGAAAGTTAGAATGTGTTTGTGACTTTAACTAAGCATCACTATCCCACAATACTGTGAAATTTGGGAATTATGTAACCACTTAATCACAATAAAGAATTTGGGGAAAAAACAAAATAAAAAATAAAAATTAGTAGGGAAGAAAATAATTTCCCTTTTGCCATTTATTATTGAAAAACAAAAATAGGACTTACTCTGAATTAGCTGCTGACTGGCTAAAGCATACATTGTTGCGCTTTTGTGAAACATAAAAGGTAAGATCTTTGGTTGGATCTTTTCCTAATTTCTTGCATGCATTCAAGGATTCCAAGGCTTTTGAAATAGTAGAAGAACATTTAGTGAAGCTGAGAGCTTCTGCAGCTGCTTTTAATTCTACAGAGCTTTGGGAAGTCCATCCATCACTATTCTCAAGACTAAACTCATCACAAAGTCCACTTTTAACCTTTCCACTTGTCCAATGAAAGTCATTTTTACCAAATTCCTTCAGTTTATTTACATCAGTTAAAACAGCATCTAAGAAGGACAGGTTATCCACGAACTCAGCGAGAGAATTTAAACAATGAGAAACAAGGGCTGAAGAGTTTTTCTCTGTGGGTGTTTCAGGAGGATGAGGAATAGTCTCAATGTCAGACTCCAAGCACTTGTTTAGTTTCTTTGTCTCAGGATTGCTTTCTTTGTCTGTGTCTTTGCTTTCTTCTAAATTTGAGTAAGACTCAGGGGATAGGCTAATAGCTTCATCAGGAAAGTCCAAACCAGTGTCAAATAAGTCGCTATCATCTAGTATCACCATCGTTTTCTGTTTCTTTTTCTGTGACTTCTTCAATGGCTGCTGTTTTTCAGATTGTTTCCTAGCAGGATACCTCACAACAGATGTTGCATTGGCATCCAATGTTACTGATGAGCCACAGACAGCTTTTCTATCTGGAATGATGTCAACTGGTAATGGCAGAATGAACTCAAGATTACTATATAAAAAATCTACATTCTGCATATGGAATTCTGAAAGAATCTGCATGAGTTTCTGCCATTCTTCCTTTGTAGTGATTTTGTGCTGAATAGTGAATATAAGTAAAGAAATGTTAGTACATATTTTGAACATTTTTCTGCCCATACAAATATAAAGTTGTCCCAATTATATCTGAAAATTTCTGTTTCACTACTTGTATTTTTTCTTTTTTTTTAATTTTTGGGTCCAGTCGTGGGGCCTGACCTCTGGGCCTGGGCGCTGTCCCTCAGCTCTTCAGCTCAAGGCTAGCGCTCTACCACTTGAGCCACAGCGCCACTTCTACCACTTGAGCCACAGCGCCACTTCTGGCTTTTTTCTTATGTGGTGCTGAGGAATTGAACCCAGGGCCTCAGGCATGTAAGGCAAGCGCTCTACCACTGAGCTACCTTCCCAGCCCCTGTATTTTTTCTTTTACCAATTCTGGGGCTTGAACTCAGGGCCTGAGTGCTGTCCCTGAGCCTCTTTGTGCTCAAGGCTAGAGCACTTGAGCAATAGTGCCACCTCTAGCTTTATTTTGGTCGGTCATGGGGCTTGAATTCTGGGCCTGCTCACTGTCCCTCAGCTCTTGAGCTCAAGGTTAGCGCTTGAGCCACAGTGTCACTTCCAGTTTTCTGGTGGTTATTTGGAAGAGTCTCATGGGCGTTCTTGTCTGGGCTGGCTATGAACTGTTATCCTTAGATCTCAGCGTCCTGAGTCGCTAAGATTACAGGCATGAGCCACCGGTGCCTGACTTCTGGCTTTTTGAGTAGTTTACTGGAGATAAGAGTCTCAGAGGGCCGGGTGCTGGTGGCTCACGCCTGTAATCCTAGCTACTCAGGAGGCTGAGATCTGAGGATCGCAGTTCAAAGCCAGCCCGGGCAGGAGAGACCGTGAGACTCCTATCTCCAATAAACCACAGAAAACCGGAAGTGGTGCTGTAGCTCAAGTGGTAGAG